AGGGACATCTGCTGTTTTTTGTGTGAAAGCGGACTGTGCTCCAACAGCACGACCCGGCCAGGCCCTCAGGGACTGACCCAGGAAAGATGACTCGGGCCAAGAGGACAGGCCCATGGACGGCACAGCAACTCCAGGCGCCGCCGCCAGAGCCGGGCCGGCTGGACCGGGCCAGAGGTCAGAGGCCAGAGGTCAGAGGCCGCCGAGGAGACTGCTCGGTAATTAAGGGGAATGAACTATCCATCGGGGCAGCAGCATGGATTTTACGTTTCTCGATGCTGCTGTAAATTGAGTCTTTTTCCATTTTCATTTTCAAGTTGCTGCTCAATGACTCATTCTTAATGAACCCTCTGCTGCGCGCAGGCACCTGGCACGTGCTCTCTGTTTAATACCCTGTGCAGCGCTTCCACGAGCGGTCAATGTATCGACCGGGGCTCCGGTCCCAGCTCCCAGACGCTCCCCACCGAGCGGGACTCGGCACACGTGAGGCGGGGGCAGGCCGGCTCGTCCACCCTCTCTGCCCACGCTGGCTGCACCAACAGGCCCACTCAGGGCCCGGGGGCCGCCTGGCGGCACCTGCCCCAGCACCAGAGCAGTCCCTGGATCCCTCTCCTTCCAGCTGAGCTGGAGATGAGGCCCGGGCTGGTCCAGGCTCCAGCGTCTCAGCTGGTATCGGAGGGTCCCGAGTGCCAGGGAGTTGGCCTTTGGAGCATGAACCTTTCCACGGGCTCCCTGCGCCAGCGCTGGCGTCTGTGACAGGCTGTCCCTGCTCTCCCTGCGGGCACCATCTGCAGTGGCTGACGCACACGCTGTACCTGAGGGACGCTCTGCAGCATCCTCACCCGCCCCAGTCCCAGGCCTGTCATCCTGGCTTCCTCCACCGAGCCCCTCCCTGTGCACCACACTTTCGGCCTCTCCCTGCGGACCCGTATGTGGGGCAGTGAGGCCTGGAGGAGGCCTGTGCATTTTGCCGACGGAGGAGGGTGCGCCCGCGGCCCGGCTCACCTGGATGCCGTCCAGCAGCCGGCTCATGCACCAGTACGTGTCGGCCTCCACGTTGCGCAGCACGTCCGCAGGCACGCGGGACACGTCGGCGATGTCCACGTCCTCCTCCTCTGCAAAGCATGGGAAAGACACGGAGTTAGCCGGGGACCACGACACGGGACAAGGACACGCAGGCGCGGAGGAGGCTGCTCTGCGGTCACCTCTCCAGGCCCATTTCTCTTGATCTAAGGAGGTGACTCATGTCTCTTCCACCTCATCACTTAGTGCTTCTCAATTTCAATACCTAATCAGATGCAGATAATTAATATTCTGAATCCTTTCCAATTAATTGGCATAATTAATATGTTGTAAGTGATTGCTTCTCAAGCAATGCACACTCTAATAAGAGAAAACCTACATGAATTACTTATAATTAACAGAGGTCTGGAAGTTCTCGGTAACACTTTCAAGTCCTGATTCTAAGATATTCCACACGCGCTCAGTGATAATCCTCTAAAACCATTTCCAAGGTGAGAGGTTTCAAAGCCACGGCAGGTAAATCCCCAGATTGACAAGCAAAGATCCAAGAAGGCAGCCGCGCAGGCGCCTGAGAGGCTACAAGACCCACGATGTCCCTCGAGTGGGAAAACCTAATGAGGAAACACCATTAAAGTCAAAAGACGCAACACAGACGCCTCGCTGAAATGCTGTCAGACGTTCGGACAAACTGACTTCAGACCCTTGTAAAGAGGCTGCCATCCGCATGACACTCACAAGAACCTAAAAATGGTGTACCTGTTTTTAATTTAATTTGCTTTTGTTTTACTTTGCAATTGTGCAAGGCATCTCTGCAAGGAAAACAACTTTAAAATTGAAAACATAAATGTTAAGTGTCAGAGTCCCGGGGATGTGAAGGTGGGGGAGGGGAGGGGGGGCACCCCTAGACCCAGGCTGTGTGCTCTGCCGCCCGCAGCCAAGGCCCTGCCTGGAGGCCACAGGGCAGCCTCGGTGGGAGGTGGGAGCTCCCTGATCACAGCTGTGGGCTGGAGTCTCCCAGAGGCACCTGGGCCTCCCCCACCCACCAGACCCCACCCACCCAGCAGGAGCAGCAGAAGGCCTTTCCTGGGCCAGAGCCAGGTCACGGATGGTAGAAACGGCCTCCTTAGGGGGTGGCCTCGCTGGGAAGAGTTCCTACGACTTAATCCACACCCCACCCGCGGGAGCAGCTGGGTGACTTCCCAACTCCAGGCTGAGTCAACAGCAATCACAGAAGCCTCTTCAGAGGCCCTTTCCGCCCACTCCTCTCCTCCAAGGCCCTTCAAGGCTCTCAGATGCTTCCTTCCCGAGATGAAAGGTAAACGCGGAGAAAAGCTGTCCAGGACGCGACCGTCTGGTGCACAGGGGCGGGGCCCCACGGC